AGTAAATAAACAATCTCCATCCATCCATCCTTATATACCTTCAAGTTTTACTTTTATTATTTCTATTATATTTATGGTCCTGTTACTTCTCTGTTTTTTTAACTCTCAGAATTGCAAACACCAACTTATCTCCATGACGGCTGTAATCTTTCTTTTTCCCCTCACCATATCACGTAAAAAGAACATTATATTCAATATTTTTGAACATGTTAGGATTTCTATACCACATTGCCAATACTGTATGACACAAGCCAACGGCAATTTTCACTTATATTCTTATTATTATTACCCTAGCTGTTATCATTATTATTGTTATTTCCATTTTATATACTGCATGTTTCTGACATTAGCCCTATTGCAAATGTGGAAGATTTTCTGTGTGATTAATTTTATTTATAATTTGAGGAAATTAGATGCAATATTGTGACTAATGCTGAAAATTCCAATCTGTATCACAAGTACTGTATTCGGAATTAAAGTAAATCACTATTATTATTATTATTATTATCATACAGCAACCAACTCACAAAGGTTGAAATACGTGTCATAATTAAATTGCTTTTAATTGACATTAAAGTTTGTGGCAAAAGTGTGGGAGTTGTATGTGGACAGTAAGTAAGCAAAACCTTATTAGGAATGGTTTGCAGATTTGGATGAAAATGAATTTCGGATGGAATGTGTTGCAGTCACTTTAACTTTTAACATTTTCACATGAATTTAACTGAAAGTGTAGGAAATCTACTGTACAACATCTTATCTTGTAAGGTTAGCCTTGTTTTATTTTATCAAAAGCTATTTTAGTCTGATTAAACACTAGAACTTATGTAAGGGGAATCTGTTCTAAGCGTCGTGGGACTATTCTGCATACTTTTATTTCGAAGTACATTCCTGAATACTTTTATTCGATATTTTTGGTCTCGGTAAATTGTGGTTATAAATTTCCTAGTTCTTCTGACCGATACCTGCCTTGTTACCGCTTGGAATTTCCACTGTGGATAATCGGAATGCCACTTTCCACATATAAAGAGTTTACCGTGTGATTTTCTCAGTCTCTAGTTTCAAAAGTTGTGTACTAGCACTAAAAGTCCAGAAGAGAATCACCCCCAAGGATATACTAATTCTGCCATTGGCCGTCATGAAAGGTCGAGGTTGAAAAAACGCCAGTTTGAGTGCGCTACTACTAGGATCCCTGGTGAGACTACTTTCTATGGTCAGAAGAGGATGTCAGTTCTCGATAATGAAGTGATGGTATCATCAGTTAATAGAGCTTGAAGTGATTGATGATAATCAAAGAGATCCAGCAGACTAAGAATTGAAAATCCTGTGGGCCGAGCAGCAAAGCAAGTAATATATGGTGTGATGCTCTGCTTACCAAGAACTCACATAGGAAAGGGATAAATCCCACTTTAATTGGGTACTGGTACGTGTGAGAAAAAAGAAAAGCAAATAAAGTTCTAAAAGCCGTCACCGTTTGAATTATGAAGTAGTCTGTAATGCTAAATAATTCCGCAGAATTATTGGTCTACAACCCCCACTCACTCTAACAATTAGCTTATTATGACCATAAAAAACACTCGTCTTATTTCCCATCTAATTTTAATTCATCAGTAACACTCGTGTTATTATTATTTCTGAACGTACATTATCTCATATTGATTTTTATTCCAATATCTAATCAATTCCACATATGTATGTAAATGAAAGAAAAAAGTTGTGTGAGTAGCTTAATCTGATTATGAGCAGTAGTTTGCATTCGAAACGTCATTAGCTAATATTCCTGTATAACACTGTGTGATTTATCAAAACAAAATCTTATCCATAATGGAGTTATGCTCTACCACGGTGCCCAAGTTTCATACTTATATCAACGCTCCTCTCAACATTGGTTGTTGACCTTCCCTTTTTAGTCCACCTGTTAGGCATGCTGCAGTTCGACGTACGGTTCTTGTTAGTTCATTATCATCCAACGTTTCTGATACCAAAATGTATCTTGTATTCCTCGCGATCAATTCGTTGTCTTGGTTTCTCTTTAGTCTAAGCAGAAGAAACTCTTTGAGAGTTATGGGATGGAAATATTTTGTGACACTGTCTTGCAGACAGCCTATATGGTAAATGAGAGCTGGAAAACTAAATGACAGCGTATCATAGGCGAATGTCGACATTCCTTCATCACAAAAATGTTTGTGAAATCCAGTCCACCCGTAAGACATGTAAATCAAATAAAATAGAAGAAACAATTAGTTAAGAATAACTTAGATCGTATATCTTCAGAAATGGACTGGTGAATATGAAATTAGTTGGCAGGTCTCAGCAATGTTGGATGTTTTGACCTCCTTCCATAGCTCGGATAAACACGGGTACGACAACCTGCATCGGGTTAATAACTTGAGATACTAAAGCCAGGTGCAATGGCTGGAGTACTCCCCTACAAGATATAACCAATAATATGCATGGAGGGGTTATTAAATCCAGCAGTCATGAAAAGGATGTAATAGCCTTGTGCACGTGGAAGGCCGTGTGAACTCAGTCGACGGTATCACCTGCACATGCAAGCGCACTTCGTATCTTAAAACTGTTCAGATTTCGTACTTATATCCTAAGGAGACGGATGAAGCAATGGGTTGATCACTTCAAATGACCCTTAAAATAACCATTATATGCAACTCTCCCAGAAATAACACCGCAAGCTCTCATGGAACTGCCAGTGGATAACAGTCCTCCAATGTACGCGATCGGGCTACTGAAAGCCAGGTGGGAAGGCAGCACTACCCGACGGAATTGCCTTCAGAACATTGCAAAGATACGCTGGAGGCACAACCTCATCAGCTCAGAAGAAGCTGGGTGCAAGAAAGGCAAACCATGCGCAGATCCAATTACAGTTTTGCATATCAGCACCGAACAAATCTTCGGAAGGCAGTCAAACCTGTATTTTAACCTCGTCGACTTCAGATTTCCATCCAGAGATCATGAAAATGCTTTAATACAAACGTGAAAACTCTTAAGTCCTTAACACTGTACCAGCAGGAAGTAATCCTTTTAGTCGATTTGTGTTCGACCTCGATACACTTATGTCAAGGAACTTAACCCTAAGTTCCTATTGTTACGAAGACGTTCAGAACCGATAATTACTACGAATGATTCTCGAATTTAACTCCAAAACACTAGTGGCTGAAACAGGAAGTTGTATTATTTGGTAATTAAAATCGAGGTTAGTACAAAGTCTGTAAACAAATGTTCTACAATAAATATGCAGTACTTTTATTCGTATTCTTTCGCCTTCTTCGAACCTGCAAACAATTGAACCATTTGCGCCTTCGAGTTGCCCACCAATGGCGACAAAGGCCAATGAACCAACATTCAATGTTCACTTCCACTGACAACTTATTAACATCTCAAATAACTGCGAACTTGTTAAACCTCATAAACTCTGCTGAATAAGCTTTCATTATACACTGGGAAACCAGAAGACAACTGAAAGTTAGAACAAATATCTTTTATTGTTTCGGGATTCAGAACAAACAGATAGCAAATAAGTTGTATAATAATCCACAACGGGAAACTCAATGAGGCGTTCGAAGTGAATGCAGGAGTGAGACAAGTCAGGCCGCCTATCATCACCGGTGATATACCTATTTGTGATGGATGGGATTATGCGAAAGACTGTGCACAGGCAGTGAGGAGATAGAAATATGCTGGACGACCGATAAGAAGACTCTAGAAGATCCTCATTTCGCAGAAGAGATATGTCTATTATCACATAAACTAAAACTTGCAGACGAAAATCAGTAAACTGGTAGAAGAAGACGGCAGGCAGCGAAGAAAGGACTGCAGGCGAACATAGAAAAGACGGAGGTTGTGAAGATAATCAACGAATCACAAGAAAAACAGCAACCAGCACCAATCACAATCAAAGAGAGGGATTTGAATGAGGTAACCTCCTTCACTTATCCAGCCAGGAAGCGTCGCTTCAGTCACAGGCGGCAGAACGGATGAAGATATCGAAGCCAGTCAGCCAGAATCAGAAATGCGATATACGTCTTCATCAAATTGAAACCAGTTTGAAAATCTTCTGCACTGACTCAGCCAGAGTAAACAACAAGATTCAGATTTTCAACACCAACTTAAAGTCGGTCAGTCCTTCCATACGGACTGGAAACTTGACCAGTTTGTCACGGAAGGGATTTCCAACAGGTTGCAGATATTCATCAACAGCTGCTACCTTCGCCGGCTCCATACTGAAAGTCAATTGGCCGGCTGGTCCAAAGAAAATAAGCAACGACAAACTCTGGCTGGGAACATACCAACAAGTAAGAGCCGATTGCTTAGCAAATAAACAGGAGGAAATGGAGATGGATCGAGTGCCCATTGAGGAGGAGTTTGTCGAATGATATCGCACGCAATGCAGGCCATTGCTCGAGTGGGATACAAGTGGGATGAGACGAGTGGGTCGTTTGTGTGAGGGTGATATGGAGGAGATTGTGTGAGCCGGGGGATGAGATGAGACATGATGTGAAATCATGGGCGCAGTTGAAGAGGACTGCAGGAAATAGAAGATGGAGATGTGTTGCTGAAGCTCCATATTCCACTCGAAACCCAAGGGAATAATAATAGTTCTATAACCATGTTCATATATATGTTTCAAACAACGGTTGGGTTCTGTTATTCGGGAGATCGTGGACTACAACTCACTATCAGAACTAGTTTTGCCACTTGCTTTAATGATTACTTTCAGAGACGATTCGGATTTTCACGCCTCACTATCCTTTATCTCTGTGAATAGACAACTAAGTTGTCACAATGCTAGGATATGTTCGCAACCTTTGATTAAAAGAAATTAAAAAGCTCGTTGAGTTTTCTGAAATTAATAACGGGATTTATTTTTACGTAATTTTTAAACAGGTAAAAATACCGACTTTCAAGGTCATCCGGTAGGCAAACGTTTAATTATCCACATTTTACAGGTCCGTAGGTTTCACTTGTCGCGATGACTTATTAAGTTTTTCAAGGCTATAGAAGAGCTCAAGGTGTGTTTGATAGTTTAGTCTTTACACACTTTTGTCAAAATAAGTCCTTTTTCGTGTTATTTTATATCCACCGGGTGCACATAAGATTGCTTGTAAAGAAACTGTTTCATCATCCAAGATTTCAGACAACGCTTGAGTCTACCAACACGTTTTGAAGCCCAGAAAGCTATATAATGTAGAACTTGTTGCTTTTAAGTCCACGTCTGTATCAGAAAAGTTTTATCTTAATAATTAGAGCATAGTCTAACCGACTGAATTCATGGACTACTTTTACTTTACTGCGGTATCTCTACCTGTGGCTCATTGGTTCAAACATAACTGTCCAAAGTAATTTGCCACAAGTAAGTTGGCTAGAGTTGGCGTCTCATGTAATGTCAACAATCTTGTGGTAACAAAAGTATTAATCTCAGGGAACCTCATGAAAAGTTCCAAAGGACTATCCTCATTTTATTCACAAAGAACAGTATTGGCTGATATGGAATTATGTTGGAAAGAGATTTTGGGGTTCTAGGATGAAAACATCACCAGCAAAAGAAGTCATGTGTCAGTGGTTTAATGGTAGAACTCTTGTTATCCGCACAGGTTGTACGGCTTCGAACACAGCCTGACCTCTTTTTGTCAGTATTAAGCCGCGGAAAAGGAAAGGTTGGGCGTGAGGCTACCAACCTCGTCTCTCAAAGAAAGACAACACCACCCTACTAAAAATTCAAAGCCATTCGTTCCAATGAGAAGGGAGTGAATGGGACATGTAAAGAATCCGCAAAGTCACTCTAAGTGACGTTGAGCAGTATAGAGATGTTTGCTTGGGCCTCCCGAAATGTTTGTTACCAGTGGTTCGAGACCGCTATTGAAGTGGCTTGGAATCGATTGCATCATCCAGATCCTGAGATTTCTGACCAGTCTCCACTTAATTATTTCCTCTGTCGTATGTTTTCTTCCATCTCAGTTCTTTTCCAGTGCTTTTCTACACTGTAATGTGTGCTTTTGCGAAGTGTTTCAAACTAGACTGCTGCACGTTGGTGCAAAGTTTTACGTTGACGATTCAACGAGTTAGTGACAGGTATCACTGAGATTGACACTATGTCTACCTTTTAGGTGTATAATTGGTCGTGTTGTTAATTTTTCCACGCATTGGTGGGAATGAGAGTTATTTGTCTAATGAGGGATTGCACATTTATTCATTTAATTAACACAACTCATCTTAACCATCATAAAAATGAGGGAACTATGTCTTTTACGCATCTCTGTCATGAAAACTTTTGCTGAACACTATTGTTGTTTATGTGAATAAGACACGCTATAAGACATAATATTTTGTAACCGTTTTGTACAACACCTTTAATTAGTGTAATGATGTCTTAATGTGTGAATGTACCTCACTTCTTAAGTAACTTTTCAGAATGATGGAATTTCGCATAATTATTCTGTAACTAGAACCACCAGGGAGTGTATTGGCAGCAGATGTCCCTACGCCCATGAAACGAATGTCTGGACCCAGAAAAATGGGTAAATCATTCCTTCAGTTTGTGCTTACGACTTGTTAGGGCCATTTACATATTGGATTATGAGTGAACTAGAATAAGGACACGTCTGTGGAGTTTTTAAGTAGCTGAACAACATGTCAGTATATTCGTTAAAGCTCTTGCCATTTGTTTGATCCGTGGTTAGGATCATTTATAAGCACGCAGTGTTCACCATATACGTGTTACAATGGTCCCATGTGAAAGGATCTCATGAATATCTTTAGACTCGAAAACATTGCTTTCAAAGTTACGTCCGATCAATGATTGATTTAAGCACTAAGTCCACTTTCGCACAATAACCTCCTTGGTTTATTTCGCCTTGCTAGTCTTCAAATGTTGTAACTATCGGGTTTAGCCGAAAATGTGGAGATGAAAACTGGCCAGAAGTGCTTTAATTAGGCAAATAAAAAAATTGAGGAATATCTTTATTAGTTTTTAAGTATTCGTGCGAAAATTAGAGTGAAGTGGTAGGTAGTAAAAATATCATTAAACAACATTAATAAACACTTGATTTTAGCTTTTCTCAACGTTTAAACTGAATTCACTTTCAGGAAGTTTTTCTGCTTTCAAAGGTTTTCATTTTCTAGCTAGAGTTTTGGATATTACTTCAGAATCGCCTTCAACCCCGTTTTGTGACAAAATACTTATAAGATTTTCTTTCTTGAGTACTTACGGAGATTTTCTTCCGACTACAATTTATGTTAAGGTTTGATTAGTTCCATTCTTCCTAACTGGTTCTTTGTTATGGTTTAAATTTTTTGACTGCTTGTTCGTAAGGTTCATTCTCGAGGTTTAATCACCGGATGGGACATTGGGAGGTGGCCTCTATGGATTGGACTTCAGCACCTGTCCCCTAGCTATACCGAGATTTCTCCGCCTTTCCGTCTGGTAAACTCTAGCTTATTTGAACTTTAAAGTTGTATGTGGACAGATTTGGTTTGTCACATTAGAAGTAACAGGTAAATTATCATTTAGTTTCTCTGCAGCGGTTTCTTTTCTACTGTGCTGTTTTATCTGAGATAGTCATGTTTAATGGTTCATTTGGAGGTGTTTTTTTGTCCCTAATTATCTGAGAGTGCTGTATGGTCTTGGGGATTTTTCAAACTCTTCAGATAGTAATTCGAATTGAGAGCTTGTCTAAAATCTTACTTAACTGGTGTCTGTTGACTTCTGTTTCATCTTAATACTGCGAGGAATTGTCTTTTTTTCTTTAAAGTGATTTGTTTCAAGGTTTCGGAATCAGGTAATTAATATGTGTTGAATTAAGACTTCATATCATGACATTTAGTCGTCGTCTGGGGATCATAGATACAGATAAGAAGGAGCATTATCCTCTTTGTTCGGTTTCTGAAGATATCAATAGCCTTTTTGTACTACTTTCTAATTTTCATACTATAGTAAACTTACATTCGTCTAGATGCTTTTATTACACAGCTTTTCATGCGTGTTTCTAGTTTGTTGCTCTCATCTTAGGGAAGTATTTGTTCTGTTTGGGATGTCTTCAGGTTAATTTACTTCTGTTTGCTTCTGTCCTCAGTTCTTGCTTTCAGATTTCACTTTTAATGTGGGTTAGACATCCCGTAATACACTACTAATAAATAGATTAAAACTTACTGTATTGTATTTCCCTTCATAATTCGAACCGTGGTGGCTATGTCGAATTTGTGACTTGTGTCAGATTACTGGCAGTACTATTGGTTTAGTTTTTTGAATTAATTATCAGATTATAACTCAGTATGTTCCTCTCTTGTTTGTTAGTGCATGATAATCGGCTTTGTTATAATTAATTTGTTGTTTTCCGTGAAGTCCCTGTCACTATTCCTTGAATTAAAAAAAATTTGTGTGACTAGTATTTCTCTTATTTAGGTGAACGTAGCAGTAAATCCCATAAAAATAACTATTTCGTTTGTTCCCAGTTAAGTTTTCTATACCTACTGCAAAAGTTAGAATGATGTTCCAAATGCTGGACCATGTTTCATTTTTTACTTGTTAGGTGTTTTTATTGGTTACATGTAATAGTGTCAGGTAGTTCTCCATATAAGCCTAGTGGGTTATCAGCTTCGTGAAATTTCATGTTTACTGTTCACTAGTCTTCGAAGAAAGTTTATTTGTCTACTGAATTTTTTGTGATGTTTTTGCAAGCATTATCGGTCGTCACTTTGAATGCGGAAGCCTTAGCAGTAGATAATATTGAAGCCAAAACCTTGTGCAGAGGCCATAATGCTTACAGTCTCTTTCGTTTTTTGGACCTGATTTTATAGTAAACACGCTATTCGTCTATATTTCCAATCGATTTGTGATTCATAAGCTTCTAAACTCTAATTACCACGCTTCAACATTTATACTAATTGTTAAATTTTAACATATGCAGGAAATAAATTATGCGTTTCAATAAGTATATCTGTGCGTAAATCAAATTGTCACAAAGAAGATTTTCCCCGCCGAAATATTTCTTTTAAAGTTTGAGTGCTTTACAATATGAGCTCTATACTTCATTGTGTACATTTATTTACACTGTTACTTTTACTAAATAGTGACATATATTCATCATAAAATGAATGTCTACTTAACTCGTGTAAGAATGATTAGAATATCGTGTTCTCATTATTTTTGTTCACTCTGACTTCAGTCGTCAGGAAAGAAATGTAGTTTCGTCTGAGCTGAATGGTTTAATTTTTTAACTGTCTCTCTTCATCGAGGCAACATTTTCCAACACTAACAACTCAACCGTCTAACAGCTAAGAGGATGCAACAATACCAAAGGCGTTCACCCAAGCTGCAAATATTGCTATCCATCATTTAACTATATAATAATAATAATAACAACTATTGAGGCCAAAATGTTTATGCAATATACAGAATTATCAGCGTTATTTATTGCATAATATTTTTCTCTTCTCATCCTGGATCTTCAAGTGGAGTAGCAGTACTGTTCGATCTAATCGCATATAATATTTTCCCATCGTCGCAGCGGTAGGTTAAAAGCCAATTGAAAATGTGTTCGGGACCCAAAGACATAATTATAAATGATTAAAATAATGGGAAATAGAGAGGTCAATGCATCGTGTTAGATGGATTTTTAGGGTGGTAGTCCAGTGATTCAAGCAGGCCAGACCACCATTTCATTGTCAACTATCTCAGTAATTCTGTTGTCACATAAAAATGTCTTTTGTAATGCTTTAAAAAAACTAAATCACATTAACACAACATTCTTGTTTTTTTTCCTTTACTTCTTTTTCAGATAGAAAATACAAACAGATTTTCGATACTCTTCACATAAAAATTTAATTGTGATTAATTTCAATTCACAAGTTCATCTAAAGTTTAACAAAAAAACTTTAATAAATGATATCATTATACTACTATATTTTGAGAAAATTCTGAATGAATCCATCTAGTAATATCAGTATTAATAGTATTAGTAATAATAATACTACCACTACTACTAATACGACTACTACTACTACAACCACTAATAATAATAATAATAATGATAATTCAGTTAATATTTATCATGAACGTCAGTCAAAAATGTTTTGTGCACTACATGCCTTAAATAATGTATTTCAAGATAAAATATTTTCAAAGAATTGTTTAGATAGAATAGCTGATAATTTAAATACTAATTCATTTATCAATCCGCATAGAAATATCTTTGGCTTAGGTAATTATGATGCAAATGTCTTAGTTATTGCTTTACAACAATGCGGTTATGACATTGTCTGGTGTGATAAGCGTAAAACAATTGCTGGGCATAAATTAAATTTTGATAATATTTTTGGTTACATATTAAATACATTTTCTAATCGACGAATATTCAATTTAACACTACCATTGGCTGGAAGTCATTGGATTGCTTTACGCAAATTAAAGTATAACAATGAGTATGTTTATTTTAATTTAGATTCTAAATTATGTCAACCAGTTGTAGTTGCATCAACTGATGATGAATTTGTTGATTATATTGAAGGACGTCTTAGAGAATATCCAGAGACACAGTTATTATTTGTTGTATCTAACGATGTACTTCAACAACGTTCTTGGACGTATAATAAACAGTAGGACAATATAGTGTGTTGTATTGTTATAACATGTACAGTGATGTGTATTATTATTTATTTATTTAATAAAAATTCAAATGGTGATTCTTTTTTGTCCTGTTTGCGTTTATAAATCACTTAGCAGACTGTATTTCTTACACTTTTTACTCATTCGGGCTAACAACAACACAACTTAGTTGTTCTGGTGGCTAAAGCGGATTGAGAGTGAATTAAAAAACCTGTGACTCATTCGTTGAAAATTGAAAAGAAAGTCTGTCTCTCTGTTTTCGACATAGAACTTTGCACATATGTGCGACAGTTCAAGTCTCCACACTCCATGTAGCACACAAAGCAAGAGAAGAAAGTACAAGAAAAGCATTATAGAAACAGTAAGCAGAGGTGTCAGACAAAGGCGGAGTAATAACGAAGAACAAAACAGTTTCATTGGAAATCATAAGTCACAAGGAGTGGATGCATCTGCGCTAGCATTGAGAACGATTTTGAGCCATGTCACCAATTGTTTCCAACCATTGGTTTTTTACCGTCCCGAGGACCCAACCAGTCAGGAAGTCTACACCTTCCCACGTGGCTTAGACTAACTGTTGTAGATTTCATTGACTGATGCCATGTTTTGGTTTGACCGCCGCTAGCTCTTTTCCAGCCTGACCCTATATCAGCTAACATTGCCCGTCGAGGAAGGCGATGACTAGGCATACGTAACACATGTCCTAACCATCTCAGTCTATGTAACTTCACAACCTCGTCGATTGATTTCCCCTCTTTACCTAGAACTCGACGCCTAACCTCAATATTGCTCACCTTATTATACCACTTCACACGGGAGATAGAACGCAGGCACCTATGATCAAAGACAGCTAGCTTCTTTTCATGTCTTCCACTCTCAATGGCCAGGTCTCACCAGCCATAAAGGAGGACGGAGCGGACTGATGAGCAGTACACCCGCCCTTTGGTCGATAGTCGAATATCTCGTCTACGCCAGAGACGGCGTAAACTGGCAAATGCGAAACGAGCCCTCTGTATCCGTGCTGAGATTTCGTCAGAGATCAACCCGTTGGGGCTGATGGTACTTCCCAAATAAGTGAAGCGGTCAACGTGCTCTACCACTTCACTTCCTATTTCTAAACTAGGAGTCGGTGTAGTCCAGTCCTGTAACATCATCTTGCATTTGGCGGGAGCGAATCGCATGCCAAACATTCGTAGATTGCAGCTCAAGGTGTTTAGAAGACTCTGCATTTTGTCAGCGTCTTCGCCTAGAAGGACTATATCGTCTGCATATTCCAAGTCAACGAGATTATTCCCTGGTAGCAAGTCAATCCCTGAGTCGCTGAAGTCAGTTAGGGTTAAGTCCATTAGCACATCTATGATGAAGTTGAATAGAAAAGGGGATAATGGGCATCCTTGACGGACACCACTGGTCGTCATCAGTTCAGATGACAGCTCGCCGTAAGCCCTCACCTGGCTGTATGAGTACGAGTAGAGTGCCTTAATCAGTGCAATATATTTTCTCGGAATTCCCTTTACAGCCAAGCATCTCCAGAGAACCTCTCGATCGACAGAGTCGAATGCTGCCTTTAGGTCAAGAAATATAATGACTGTTGGACGCCGGTAGGAATGCCTATGTTCTAGAATCTGTCGGAGGGTGAAGATATGATCAATACACCCTCTTCCTGGCTCTCTCGTGTTTGTGCTTCCCGAGCACCACTCAGTCTACGCATGATTATTGAGCCTAAGACTTTAGATACTATATTAGTCAAGCTAATCCCTCTGTGATTATCACAGGAAGACTTGTCTCCCTTCTTGTATATGGGGATAATCAGTGACTTACACCAACCCGATGGGACTTCTTCTGATTCCCAGACGCTGCCTAGTACCTCAGTTAATGCAGACAGTAAGCTGTCTCCACCGTACTTAAATACCTCTGGAGTCATTCCATCAGGTCCCGCTGCTTTGCCTAGTTTCAGATTGGTGACAGCTTTAGTAACCTCAGTTAGGGACGGAGGACCTGTGTCTATATCCCATTCAGGGAGGTGTTGGATGTTCGGAAGGTTGAGCGTGGCTGTGGGCCAATTAAACTGCTCCTCATAATGCTCTTTCCAACGATCCAGTCGTCTATCCTGGGAGCTAATTATAGTGCCATTTTTTTCCGAGATTGTTTCACTTATGATTTGTCTTCTCCCACCCGTTTCCCTGATGAGTCTAAAGAGTTGCCTGGTGTTGCCTATCCTCGAAGCTTTCTCCATCTCTTTGGCTTTTGTCACCCACCACTGTTCACGGTCCTTGCGGAGACTTTTCGTAAGTTTCCTTTTGTGCAGCTTTCGCTCCTCATTGAATTCGGAGCTCGCCGGAATAAGTCTTCTAGCATCTATCAGTTCGGATGAGGCGGTGGAGATCCAGTGGTTTTTACTCACCTTTGGGTTTACCTTATTCACAGCTTTTACAGCTGTATCTATGGCTGCCTGGATATTTTTCCAAGCTTCTTCAGGGTGAGCACAGCTGTCGAACACAGATATGTGTTTAGCTAGTTCTTCCTCAAATACGGATTTAGTTTCCTGATCGAGCTGGGGACGTGATGGTTTTACCGCCAGCTGTTTCCTACGTCCGTTCAGTCGTAAGCACACCCGAGCGCGGACCAGTGCATGGTCGGTATCTACACACGTGTTCCAGAAGGAGCGACAATCTCCTACCGACCCACGCCAACGATAGCTTATTGCTATGTGGTCTATTTGTGTCCAGCGTTGGTTTGATGAAGGGGGTCTCCAAGTCAAACAGTGTCTCTCCTTGTGTTTGAAGTTAGTGCTTACAAGAAACAAATGATTATCAGAACAGAACTGTAGGAGACGGTCACCGTTGTCGGTTCGCTGGCACGGAACTCCATAGGTGCCACCGACATCCTTCTCAGATTGACACAATTTCCCTACTTGAGCGTTAAAGTCACCAGCTAGAACGACTATGTCTGAGCGTTTAGCCTTTCACAGCAAACTAGACAGCTTTTGGTAGAACTCATCCTTCGTTTCATCTGAACTGCAGTCAGTGGGGGCGTAGGCGGAGATTACGAAAAGGCATCGGCGAGTAGTGCAGTCCTTTCTCCTTTTTACTGATCCGTTCAGACGGACAGCACACATTCGGCTATCTACCGGGATCCAGTCAAGCAATGTCTTTTCTGCCCTAGTACTCAAAGCTATCCCTACACCAGCATCTCCTGACACCCTCAAGGTGAATTTTGCAGATTCAACCTGTTGGCCAGGTGGGGTTAGGTGAATAACCACACTTGGGTCTTGTATGCGTGTTTCTGAAACACAGCATACATCAATGGCTCGGGATGCCAGGGTCTTGGCTAGTGATGCTTGTTGTCCTATTTGGCAAAGTGTCCTAACATTAAAAGCTCCTATATGAAATTGGTGGCGCGGCTTTAAGAGGCTGTCGGTGGTGGTTTTTTGGCTTCCATCGTTTTTAGTGGATGCAGAGTGGAGAGCTATCAAGTCGAGGAGTTGCATCAGTGGAAGGAAGGCAAGATGAAAACAAAGATGAGTGAGTAATAGAGAGGTTTCGCGTGCGTTTTGGATTGTGAGGGCGATTGTTACTTCCCGGCTGCCCACACCGTGGAAGTTGGTTGCGTGACCGCAGAGCCCAGGGGAAAACTGTTTGAGGCCGGTTTTTGTTTGTTCTTTTTTATTTATTTTTGTTTTTCATTTTCAGTAGCATATTTATCACTTCTGCCCTGTGACACGGTAGCAGGAAGCGCGGTCGTTGTTAATCCGGGCCCCGACCGATCCGGCATGATATTTTGTGACTTTGTTTGTATCATAGTATTGGATTGGGTAGCTGCTTTTTGTCTAACCGCTATCCAAACAACCTTTCTGGCATAGTATGACCTCAAGAGACATAAGTCTCAGCTAGTATAGCTTGTTGGGTCATTGTGGTGTTCAAGCCCGACCACCACGTCAAGGTAGCAGCTTTTGGTCGCGTCTCTGAATTAATAGAGTTTCACAAGTATAAGAGTGAAATAGTAATGGTAAAAAGGAATATGAAAGATTATAGAGACTGAATACATCTGCGCCATTGACAACGATTTTGAGCCATGTCACCTATTGTCTCCGGCCATTGATTCCTAGAGTCCCAAGGGCCCCGACCGGGAAGTCTGCATCTCCCTGCCTGACTCAGCTTAACTGTCAAGGATTTCATGGATTGATGCCATGTTTTTGTTTGGCCCCCACTTACTCTGCACCTATATCATCTAGTAATACCCGTCGGGGTTTCGGTCGGGTAAAAGGAATTAGGTATAAAACAAGTTAGACTCTAAGCTGTTAACTGCTTTTCTAAACTGAAAAATTAATTGCTTAGTTTATCTGCTTCCTTCATGTCTTTTCTCGATAGAATTTCTTTGTATTCGTTTGTTTCCTCCCTGATACCTTTCTAAACCGTCAATCGTGTTTGACTGTTATATTTTCAGTCAGTCTCGTTGATAGTTGTATTTAATGTTTGTTGTAGTGTCAGTCAGTCTTCAAAGAGCTTTTCTGTTGGCATAGTGTATGTAAGTCATATAGGAATTTCAAATATTCTTCGGTTTTGACTTGTGTTTTATATCGTATTGTGTTGTCCGAAAGCTTACAGAGAGTTCTCATTTGAAATGATGTTTGTGGTATTTATCAAGGATTCTCACTCTCATTATTGGTATTTAACTTCGTCGTGTGTGTATTAATGGTTACGATTGCATCCAACGTCAATATTTCAAGGATTGACTTATTGTTAAGCGAAGGTCTCTGTCATCTAAAGCATGCAAATGAGTTTTTATAAGTTAAGGTGCTGATGAAATCTAAAGTCTTCTAAACACCTTGAACAAAATTTTAACTTTGTTTAATATGCAACTCTCTTCTGTCATATTTAAGATGGAATGGTCTACACCGTATCTTATTTTAAGGATAGAGAATAAAATGATTAAATATGTTGGCCACTTCACTGTTTTTTGAAATTCCTTATCATAATGGCTGATTAAATCTCAGTAAGGGCACAAAAGACTTTTTTATCGTCTGCCGATTTGTTTCATCTTCGATGCCGGTGTAATATCTAGCCTCTCATCAAAGGAC